TGGGCTCAGGTTCTCCAGTGACAGCTCTCCTTTGCAGCACGGCTAAGACCTTTAGAGGAGCCATAAAGGAGTGTGAAAAAGGGCTGTTTCAATGGCATGGTATGAGTTTTGTTCTAACCTTGCCGGGTGTGCATAAAGTAGAGAAGTCAGGAAATATCAGAGGGGTGCGTCTGATTTAAACACTCAGACTTTGCATGAACAAGCATTTACATATAAGTATTTATAAAGTTTATAAGTTTAAACTCCATCTCATTGGGTGCAGAGCCAAGAAAAAAAAGTTTAAAGGGCTCACATCTGCACTTTAATTAAATGTTTTAATATATATATATATTTTTTACACACAATTCCTTCCACGTTCTGACTTCTAGAATTATATATTTAATTTGGTAATTTTTTATTTTATTTACATTTTTTTTTTTTTTTTGCTGCTACAAAACTAAGAAAAAGGATCACAAGGTCTTTCCTGTTTTTTGTTTGTTTGTTTGTTTTTTACTTCTATGGTTGGTTCTTCTGGTGTTTGGGAATAATAGTATCAAGCAATATCCTCTTTACCTCACTGTGAAAGGATGAACCAAGATTCTGAACACTGAACAGGCTCTATTTACATATCAATGTTGGCGGACTTGTATTAAATGTATTCATCTAATGTAACAAAACTCCAAGGCAGTTTTACTACATATGCTTATTTTGGAGAGGGGAGGAAGCAGAGCCCAACAGTACCAGCATTTCAATCATGTTTGTGACTAAAGATAGATGTGTGCAAACTGTAAAATGCATTTAGGAGTATGTGCGTGAATAAAAAGTAGGTCCTGTTTGTCCTTAAAAAGACTTACATTACTTTATGGTGTTTATATTGCAATGTTTTAAAGACTGCATATTAACTCCCTCATTTGCTTGAATAATCAGCTAGAAGTAGTAAAGACATTTCAAAATAAGAGTCCCAGTGTATTTAAGGCTTATTATAATTAAAACCCCCGCATTATGCAGAGCATTTTTTTTCTCTGTATATTATTGATATTTTGGTTACAACAAACTGTATTAAATGTTTACATTTAAACAATTCCAGAATTATTAAATTAATACAGTTTGAAACAGTTAAAACAACTAGTCAATGGCTCCACGTATCCCTTTATTAACATTTTTAAATATATTTTCATTGCACCCCTAAAATTCTTTATGTGCTCATCATTTTTTCAAGGTAGGAGCACATGGGACGAAAGTGATCGTCAAGCCTTGGGAAGTTGTAATGTAGCACAAAAAATAAGCACAAGAAAAACTAGTTTTCTCATGATATGACAGATTTCATGCATGTATTTTAAAGGTACAATCAATAAAAGCAGTTACTGATGCCATTGTAAAAGAATACCCTATTCACTGAGAATCATTTATTCCATGCAAAATTGTCCGATAACAGGGGTTACAAAGACACAATGAGTAGTGTTCAGCTGGTCATGTGATCTCAACATGCTTGCCCCCAAGAGGCGACCCGCTCAATGTAATTATTAGGCTCCTCATATGACGGAGTTCACCTTTAAATTCAGACAAAAAAAGAGTAACTGAACGCTACCACTTTTGCAAAACATTCTGTAGGAGTGACTTGAAACATCAAACTCCTCCACCGCTCTCAGCGCTAAGACAACAGAAGAAGCCCCTCAGCAGAAATTCATTCCTCACTTCAGAGGTTTAAAGCAGATCCCCCATAATTCCACTCGATAGGATTCTCACTTGAAAACTCTGCAAAGCGGCGCACAGTCTTACCCTTCCATTTGACCCGCCCGACGACTCGCTCTGCCAGCCGTGCAAAACAATACTTTCACAATGCTGCTGGACTTTTATTGTTGCCACGGCGTTATATAATTCCAGGAATTACTGACAGGCAAGGATATGCTAAATCCTCCTCTACTCTTCCTGAAAGATGAGATAGACTCGGCGAGCAGCAGCTCTCTTTCCGCCTTCTGACTCGGTCTGTAATCCCGATACGCACTGTCTGCATTTTTACTGTATGTTTTATGTTTAAGCGCATTTGCAGAGCATTTATCTCCCCAATGTAAACCAATTTGGCTATAAGGGCCTCGGGGCGAGCTCACAGTCGAAGGAAAGAAAGGAAAACTCAAACGTAGCAGAAGCGCGTAAGGAGTGCTGTGACGTAGAGCAAAAAACGAGAAAAGAAGAAAAGAAGCAGAACGGCGCAGGAGAAAAGAGAATCCTGTCCAGAGGCGATGCTTCCCGTTTGTGCAATAAGAACCCAAAAGCCGCCATAACCTGAATCACTGGACTGTTGAATTGCAGAAATCTTCACAATCATCGTTATCCCCTAATCCGGCTGTACGTGCCGGGCCAGACATACTTTTCAACTTCCAGACAGGTGTCTGTAGCCTACTGCATGAAACATTTGCACATACAGTTTCATCCACTACTTGAAATCTCAAAAATACATTTCCAAACAAACACTCACCACCATGATTCTAGGGCCCTTGAAGTCCACTTTCACGCAGAGTTTAGAGTCAACCCTGATCAAAATCACCTGCCTGTAACCAAGAACGGACTTAAAGGAACGCTCCACTATTTTTGAAAATAGGCTCATTTTCCAACTCCCCTTGAGTTAAACAGTTGAGTTTTACCGTTTTCGAATCCATTCAGCCGATCTCTGGGTCTGGCGGTAACACTTTTATCTTAGCTTAGCATAGATCATTGAATCTGATTAGACCGTTAGCATCTCGCTCAAAAATGACCAAAGAATTTCTATATTTTTCCTATTTAAAACTTGACTCTTCTGTAGTTACATCATGTACTAAGACCGACGGAAAATGAAAAGTTGCGATTTTCTAGGCCGATATGGCTAGGAACTATACTCTCATTCCGGCATAATGATATTACGCAGCGCCTGAAAATAGTCCCCAGTACGCTCCCCGTGCAAGCAGGTGGTCACATTGGTTATGTTGACGGAAGTTAGCCTATTTTTCAGGCTCTGCGTAATATCATTGCGCCTGTTGCACCCGTGGTACGGCAGCAATGATCTATGCTAAGCTACAGCTAAAAGTGCTACCGCCAGACCCGGAGATCGGCTGAATGGATTCGAAAACGGTAAAACTCAACTGGTTAACTCTAGGGGAGTTGGAAAATGAGCCTATTTTCAAAAATAGTGGAGTGTTCCTTTAACCAATAAGCGAGGTAAGAGGCCACATAGGGCCCTGGGGAATCAGGGGGCCCCATCTGATATCAATATTTGAAACATACTGTATTTGAAAAATAATTTATATCGAAACATATTTGGCAAAAGCTCCAGTGTGTATTTGTGTTCCGGAGAGCATCAAATGTTTATATTTACAGTGTGTTTTGCAGCGTTAGATATATCATGATATAGTTATCAAGTTTGGGAATATTTAGAATAAAAAAAACAGGCAGATATACAGTGCTATCGAGGCTGCTGTGTGTGACATGACCACCCACCCACTGGTGCCCCCTCAAAAATACTAAGTATATATGAAGTCCCTGCTGGCTTTGTAAATATCACATTAATAACTAGCTATATTGCCTTAAAGGGGCCGTTCACCCAAATTCTGTCATCATTTACTCCAAACCTGTATGAGAATTTGAACAACATGAGGGTGAGTAAATGATGACAGAATTTTCATGTTTGGGTGAACCGTCCCTTTAATAAAATCTCTGCTCATCACATAAGTAATTGTTTGATTTGAACATTAAATAAATGCCTAAAACCAACAGTTAATTTGCAATATATTACAGGTTTTTGAAAAGAAAATAGTATTTGACAAATTATATTTTTAAGGTATAATATTTGAAAATGGACAAACGGTAACACTTTATTTTGTATATGTACTTACTGTAGTAATTACACGTACTTACTGTAGTAATGATGCTAATGACGAGTAATGTAATGCTTTACATTTAAATGGCTGGTTAACATTCACTAGAACAGTTCACAGCGCACTTTCGGAGTTCCTCTGAAACCCTCCACCTTCCCCAGCTCCACCTGTATAGATTTGCTACGTGTTATGCTATTTGTGCAGCAGCATGTCTTAAATACTCACAGCACCGTATCGGCGTATGTATTGGCAGTGGCACATTCCTGTACTTGCATTGCAGCAGCAATAATCTACAACAACAGCAATAACCAACAGCAGCAGTAATTCAGCCGCAGCAGCGCAGCAGATCTTTTCTGCCAAGACCAAATACATTAACAGTGTCATATATCCATTACCATGCTAAAATCTTCAGAGAGTTGTTGTCATTCCAAACAATAATCTCCATCTTTAACCACAACTTAAGGAATTTAGTAAATTGGACACAATGAACAATTATGCAAAAATAGAGGAAAATCTTTTCCCACCAATATATTCAACAACAAAATAATTTATTGTGTACGGTTGCTTTGTGTGAGGTACAGACTGAAATTTTGCTCTATTTCAATTAACAAATCACGCTTTTGAATCTGATCTTTGGTTTTGAAATGCTGATTTGGTCAGACTTAGGAGTGCTGGGTTCATTTTTGTGCCATATAGTTGTCTCTAACTGCAGAGAACACTGAAAACCAGAAATCAAGGGCAGGTTTTCAGGACAAAAATACAGAAAAACTGTAATATTGTGAAACATTATTAATATTTAAAATAACTGTTTTCTATTTGAATATATATAATTTATTTCTGTGATGCAAAGCTGAATTTTCAGCAGTTTTCAGCTATTACTCCAGTCTTCAGTCACATGATCTTTCAGAAATCAATTCTAATACACTGATTTGACAGTGAATAGAAATGATAGAAATAATTTATAAGATTTTAAAATGTCTTTACTGTCACTTTTGACCAATTTAATGCATCTTTGCTGAATAAAAATATAAATTTCTTAAAAAAAAAACGTTTTTTTTTTTTTGTTAAATGCATTACCTTGCAGGCCAGAATTAGAATTAGGATCCATTTCAACAGTGAAACAGGAAAGAGAACAATAAAATGAGAGGAAATCAAAACGTACCTAATGAGTTTCCATCCTTGATGACTCATGTAAATGAAGAATGTAAAATGTGTGGAAAACCCAGAACAGACAAATATTTACATTACATCGGAGCTGATAGCGTCATGTGTCATTAAGTCCAGTTAAAGCCTTTCCAACCAAAGTCATCATTCAGGGCACAGAAATGAGTGCCGCTCATCTCATAACGACAGTCAAGCAAGGACGATGGTTTTCCAGTGAACCTGTGATGTGCAGCTCTGATTCATTTTCGTTTAATGAATTTGTGAGGCATTAAATTATACAAAATGATACAGAAATGAAGAGAAACATTCAAATCCTCATTCAGTTTTGATGAAGCTTTACTGCTTCTATAGTGAGTGCAAATATTCATGTTTCATTCTGATATATATATATATATATATATATATATATATATATAGTCTTAACATTGTGAAGAATGATTGAGAGTTACTTGTTATTTATTAAAGGTGTGAAATTTCAGCGGCGAAAAATCTTCACCAAAATGTTATTGCAAAAACTAAAGATTGATTTCACACAGATTCTTCCTGTCTTCCACTGGTTGACAAACAGATATAAACTGCTTACTTGTAATAATTTCAGAAAATTAAAAAAAAAAATACAGTTAATGAACGTTACAATACCATTCTTTCTTCCAAAACCTTAACACACAGCAGAACTTGTTCTTAACTGAAAACATAATCAAGGTCAGTTAAAGTTATTGATGAACAACATATAGGATTTGTGAGTTACCTAGAACTTGTAGGATAGAATCTGTAGAGGTTTCTGCGGTCGCAGATTCAGTGTAGGCCTGCTCATGGCTCACCTGGGACTGAACCGTTAGCAGCCCACAAACATACACAGCAGAATTTCAATCATTAATGTTTCCTGGTGAGTTTGCTCTTGGCTGTGAGCTGTTCCACCTCTCTCATAAAGCGCAGACACATTTCATCCTGCCACGGCAGAGACACACACTGCACTGCCACAGGGAGACCAACGCCACCCTTCACCGCCTGAAAACACACACACACACACACACGTTTCACTATATTAGTGAGGACATCTCATAGACATCCATTGTTTTTTATATCAGGTTAATGATATTTTCTATGGCCTTTCTCCTAAACATAACCATCACAGAAACCTGTGCAAAACACTACATTGATAACAAAACATGATTTGACCGAATTATAAGACTTTTTAACTAGTGATGACACACACAATGTCCTCACTAGTTAGCTGTCATGATATTTCACTAAGTGAGGACGTTTGCCCCTCACAAGTTTAGCTAAAGAAGTACACACACACAGAGAAACTGTTTTTTGTGCCTCATTTGCATCCCATGCCATATTATTGATATAATTAACCATTAACTTGGGTTTGCTTTGTAATACAAAATTAATTTTAAATCAATTTTATTTTTAATTTTGTTTATTGTCTGAATATCAACCAATCTGTATGTTCCCAATAATCACCATTAAATAGTCTAATAGGTTAAATAAAATAAAATATATAAAATAACATAAAAAAAAAAATCGACCTCAATGTTGCTTTTGAAATTAACATTTTAGGCTTTTTTAATGCACTGCATTTGACATTCCACCTTTAAAAATAATGGTTAGAATGTATAGTTTTTAAAGGAGTGATAATGTTTTGATCATACGTTTCTTATATAGTCTTCATAAGTATTTAACCCAAATCGCCACGCCCAAAACTCACAACACAGTGATACATTTCTTCAGAAAAGCATTTGTATGACACAATATTAAACATTATTGACTGTAAAATAAAGTTGTAATTTCTACACTGACAATTAAACCTAATTACAATTAAATAAAAATTAAATGCAAACATTTTAAATGTTATGGAGATGACACAAAACATGCTTGGAAACATTTTTTTCCATGTTGTTATGCGTTATTTGTAACAACACATTTGAAAAAAATCTATCAGAATATTAATAAAAAACTATTGGTACTCTGTAAGATTGTCATCCTATATTTAGGATTGGTCTAATATTTAAAAAAATGGGCATGGAAAAAATTTTTTTTGACACCTGTTAATTGTTTGTAATGAAATTATTAAATTAAAAACAAACAAACAAAAAAAAACAGGAGCAAATAGTGCAGTCTCCTTAGATTAGAATGACCCAAAAATACATCATATATGGATTTACTACTCTGTTTTTCTCAAGTTATAAGACCATTATATTTAGTAAAATTATAAAGTTTATAGTTTAATAAAACATATGTCAGCCTGCCGCTTTCTGTGTGGTTCCTTCTTTGTAATCTTGACTATACTGCCTCCTTGTGGTGGTCAGGCATTCAACCCACACAAAGTTTACAATGTATTAAGACCAGGTGTTGGGCAGTAACTAGTTACTAGTAACTTAGTTACTGTAATAATATTACTTTTTGCAGTAACTAGTAGTGTAACTAATTACTAATAAGATTTCAGTAAAAATATTACAGTTACCATCCATAAAACAGCTTAGTTACTAGCTTAGATCACTTTTGCCTCAACCCCGCTGATATAAAATCCAACAATCAAATCATTTCTAGATTTATTTTCATAATTTTCACAACTCGCACATGCATGTGATGTCCCCAGTGCAGCAGGCAAGCTTGGTATATGGAAAAGCTTACATTCAGCAGATAGAAATATTGCATTATATTGATTTTGTCAGGAAAAAAGATGATCTGAAGTGTAAGTTGTGGCTTTACTTTACTCTGACATTACATCCCACCAACATCCCTCTGATCAGCATGTGGTACATTATATTACTATAATTAAAAATCTTTTTGGAAAATTTCTTACAAACTTATGTGATTTGATAAAATACATAATGAAATATAATCGTATATGGAGAGATTACAATTAGCTTCAAGCTACACATGACAATTAATGAGATTAATACAACACTTTCACTTGAATGTCACTATCAATCAGTATTGAGTGTTTGTAATAACTTCTGACTGCGATCCAATGTGGATTTTGGTCAAATGATGAGGCAGAAATATGTTGTTAGTAACATTCTAGAAGCATTTCATGTGGAAAATACAGTTACAACTTCTGTGGGGCATGAAGAAAAAGTAATGTAACTAGTAGTGTAACTAATTACTGTTGCCAGAAAGTAATAAGTAACTATATTACTTTTGAATGGAATAACTAGTAACGAGTAATATATTGCATTCTTTGAGTAACTAGCCCAACACTGATTAAGACTGACAAAAACACATACGCATTTAATGGCAATTTACCTCAGTGGTCTTGCACTGGGAAAACGTACCTTAACGAAGAGTTTGTCCCACATGTCCCCATGGGCACCCGTGTACTGACTGAGCTGTGCCTCGTCCTCCTCCATCACTGTAGACACGGTCACCACCCCGGCAGGGAAGTTCAGCAGGTTGTACAGGCTGGTGTAACTGAGAGCACCTTCAGAGCGGAGAAAATTAACTTAGGTGACTGTTACTGACCTTATGTAATGCTGAAATCATTACGGTCAAGTTAATAAGTAACATGAAACCGCAGAAACCACAGAATCACAATCCACATCAGCCCAGTTTTTAAGTAAATCACTAACAGGAAGTATAAGATTGGCACATAGGTAAAGCACGTAAGCTTTTATTCCCTCAGCTTTACAAGTTAAATACAGTAAAAATTTTACAATAAATATGTTACATTTAAAGGAACAGTTCACCCAAAAATTTAAATTTGCTGAAAATGTACTTAACCTCAGGGCATTCAAGATATAGATAAGTTTGCTTCTTCTTCTGAACAAGTAAGCTTTTATTCAAGATGCAGAAATGTAGCATTCCATCACTTGCTCACCAATGGATCCTCTGCAGTGAATGGGTGCCGTCAGAATGTTTTGGCTTGTAAACGGTGCTTGATCTGTGCAGATTTCTCTCCTGATTTGGATAAGACAACTTTTTCCCCGGAGAAAGCAATATTATAGATAGAGGACTTATATTTTAGCTGGAAGCAAAGGTTTGAAGTTAAAAATGTCTTAATGATGAATTCGTTATTTTACAAACATGCAGCATTTGTCTTCTCAAGATGTTAACTGATGGACTGGAGTGGTGTGGATTATTGTGATGTTTTTATCGGAGGTTTGGACTCTCATTCTGACGGCACCCATTCACTGCAGAGGATCCATTGGTGAACAAGTGATGCAATGCTACATTTCTCCAAATATGTTGAAGAAACAAACTCATCTACATCTTGGATGGTCTGAGGGTGAACTATACCTTTAAAACCATCAAGGAGATGTAATCAAACGGAGACGTATGACAGGTCAAAAAAATGTTTTACTAGTCAAACTAACTAGTAATAACTAGTAATGCTGAAGGAATTAAAAGCAAAAAAAAACAAAAACAATGAGACGTCAGATGTGGTACAGTGATTAAGTAGTAAAAAAAAAAGACATACATATACACATACAGCAAACACACACACACACACACACACACACACACACACATATATATATATATAATTGCACTTCATGACAAAAATAATGTCAAACCTGGCCTTACGGACACAAAGATAATGTAAATGTAATGGTAATGTAAATATGAGGTAAGACAGTACTGGTGAGTCTCCCGCAGTAATTGAAACTGTAGGCTGGTCCAAGCATGGGACACAACAAAACATCCACATTCAGTCTCCTCCACTCTGCTATCACCTCCTGAATGTACTCCTACAGATAAGAAAACAGTCACGTCAGAATAAGAATCTTTCATATCCATGTTATTCAAAGTCACAATAATACACTGGAACGTGGACACGTAACAATATCATAAACATTATACAGCACGTAAAATACAGTTCAGACACAAGAGGTGAAGAATGTGGTCAATTTGGCAGAAAAATGTCCAATTTAAAAGTTGAGGAAGGTGTGAGGTGTGTTTGTGGAAGTTGTGCCAGACCTATTTAGCAGATCTTGATTTTTAGATGAGAATTGTGCAACAGCTATTGATTGAGTAAGGATATGCCGATGTGAAGGAGCCATGAAGGTGTATGCTGGTTTTCATCAGGATGGCTTTTAATTTTTTTCTAGCAATGATTAAACTTGCTTTGCATGGTTTAATGTAGTATAGCAATAAGCCCCCCTCAGTTCCAAAACATCACCAGCTCTTTTTCCCTTGATAAAGTTGATAATCATTTACATGCTGTTGAAAATCCACATTACGAAATCAATATAATAAATAACTACCTCAATATTTACATGTTGTCTCCACAATTCTGCAACAGACCTTAAAAAAGGAAGAAAAAAGTTAAATAATTTAAATATATTATATATTAAATGAACCCAAAAATTCATTTAAATTCTGCACAAACACAAAGCTATCAGACTTCTGAAGACTGTTAATATATATTATGGTGTTTTTTTGTTTGCTGTGTTGTTTATGTTTAACAAGAGAAAAAAAAAAAAAAGAGTAATTTTTTAGGTTTTGAAGGGTAAATAATTAATTTTAAAAGTAAATCATTCTTTTTTTAATTTTTGGGTGAAAATACACTTCCATTCAAAAGTTTGTGATTGATAAGTGTTTTTTTTATGTTTTGAAAGAAGTCTCTTCTGCTCACCAATGCTGCAATTATTTTATCAATATACAGCAAAAACAGTAATATTGTGAAATTTTATTACAATTTAACTTTTTAAAAAAAATCTGAATATACTCTTAAATGTAGTTTATTTCTGTGATCAAAGCTGAATTTTACTCCAGTCTTCAGTGTCACATGATCCGGATGTTTTAAAGGAAGCAGATTAGAAGGATAGAACGGGAAACTGAAAGGTGAAATGTGTGGTCAGAAAGGATATACCAACTAAGAAGCATAATGTACACTAAATTATGTGAGAGAAAATACTCTGTGTGAAGCTGAAGTTGGACGAACTGGTGTTTTTTTGTTATTAAAAAAACATTTTTTTATTTGTTCAATAAGTTTGTTATTTTTAATAAAGCTGCTGTGTAAAAGCATTTGCAACAAACACCGTTTTGACTGCTTGTCTATTCGTATATGGTTTACTTGTGAGCTCATTAAGTGAGTCAAAGGTTACATTCAGAAATCATTCTATGCTGATTTGCTGCTCAAGAAACATTTCTGATTATTATCAATGTTGAAAACAGTTGTACTGCTTCATATTTCACATGATAAAATGTATTTTGGGATTCTTTAATGAGTACGAAGATTAGAAAAAACAGCATTTTTAACTTTTTGTTTTTAATTATGCAAATTTTTATTGCTGCTTTATCAATTTAATGCATCCTTGCTGAATAAAAGTACTTATTTCTTTGAAAAAAATCGTACTGATCCCAAACTTTGAGCGGCAGTGTATTTCAAATTTTTCTAAAACTTTTAAATTGTAAACAAAAAAAACAAAAAGTAATTGTAACCAACTTAGATAACACTCTAGCAAATAATATTTATCAACATAATTATGTTCATTATTCAAATGAATAAAATGTGCATCTCTATAACTGACCCAATTCCAAGAGTTGCATCTATGCTTGCAGACATCCGTGGACACTGAAGAGTACAAACATCAAAACCAGAGAAAAACATAATAGGTTGAATATCCTCTTTCCAAAACAACTGATTGCTTAATTAGATGCAAATGAGAAGCAGGAAACAATTGCAATTTCATCACTCACAAAAGGCTTGAGAACAACAGAAATTAGCCTCTTTATGAAGCCTGGAGTGCTCAACACGATGTACTGATCGCGGAGACACGGGTCAATGGGGCCTGGCTTCCTGAAATCACACAAAACACATACAATATACAACAGACACATGGTTACTATGAATAAGATGTGGCTACAGTGCCTTTAATGACAATCTAAATGTGCTGATAACAGACGTACAGATGACTGATGAGGGTACGACCTCCGTCACCCATGACCCCTCTGACAGTCAACTCATGGAAGACATGGTAGAGCCGCAGGGGTTGCAATGGAACCAGCTAAAATGTGAACGACACACCAGAACATCAGAGCAGTTTTTCAAGTGTTTTGACACAGCTTTTAACCCTCAGATGTATGGTGTCCACTACAGTGGACTGAAAACCATTCAGACTTTCATGACCAATTCATAACCACTGTTATGTGGTTTGAAAAGGGCATTTTCTTTCTTACCTACAATCTGCCACTGGTTTACATAACTGTTAAGGCAGTGTGTCTGTGTACCGTGTGCCCCGCTCTCTCCAGCAGGTCCTTAGTCTCCCTGAAGGCCCTGGCCATGCTCGGAGACGGCTGCAGATACCCGTCGTTCTCATGATAACCAATCCTCAGGGGCTCGGAGCTCTCATACACCTGTTTAACAAGAGCAAAGTATCATAGATTCTGCATTTGCATTACACATCACAAATACAGGCATCTTTGGTGTGTGATATTTAATATGCAACCTCTTGGTTGAATGGTATGGGAGGGACGGTGGGGTCTAAGGAGAACATGTCCTGGCAGAGCAGTGCCCGCATACACAGTGCCAAGCTCTCGACATCTCTTGCCAAAGGGCCAAGAGAGGACGACACTGCAAACACACCAGCACAATGCTACAATTACACGATAGACAGTACCTGATGTTCTGTAGGTGTAAAGTTCAGGACTAGAACAGCATGATGATAAACATGATCTCACCTGATTTCTGGCCTTTGACGCAAGAACTGATTCCACAAACACTAAAGATAAATGATAAAAAAAAAAAGCAAAACAGAGAACAAGAGAAACAGGTAGATTAAGGTTAAAGGTGACTTTCACAAAACCTGTCAATATCATGCCAAGATTGGAACAGGAAATGTTCACCTCAAATTCAAAAACAGGTAACAAGAATTTATATATTTCTTGAATAAAATAAAGCATTTTTACAATGTGACATTATTTACATGTCAATGAAAATATGACCTAGACATGTTTTTGAGATTGAGCCGCACATATGCAATTAATAAAGGACATTACATTATGGTTATTGTATGAAACATTATTACATTAGTAATTAGGCTACTATATATATATATATATATATTTCTCTCTCTCTCTTTTAAATGATCATCCCTGATACCTTGATTTTCTATAGCAAATAAGTGATTATTTAAAACTGGAGATTTGCAAGAATACAAGCATTGAATTTTTTTTCTACTAAATACCTGAGCACATGCTAGTAATGGCTAAATGAAACACCAGATTAACCCTGTTACTGTTTTAACACATAACAATATCTCAACATATATAAATTTTTATGATTTATGTTGAGTAGACACAAGGGAATTTATAGAACTCAAGAGGTTATTTGTAGGACAGAATCTTTAAAATTTTCAATGACTGTAACAAGCATTACACTTCCAAAACCTATTGTAAACCCTTTGCTTTGAAATATGAAACTCTTCCTCACCGCATACAGTATCCTCACACAAATGAGATTTAAGATGCATATGAACCTTATCCTCCTTGCTGTGGGCTTAAATCCACAAATCCCACAGAAGGATGCTGGGATACGAATGCTCCCAGCAATGTCAGTGCCTATGCCTAGAAAAGAGCCGCCTCCTCCAATCAGAGCTCCCTCCCCTCCGGATGAACCACCAGGGGACTTCTGAAGGTTGCAGGGGTTCAAGGTTTGCCCATAAATGGGGTTACTGCAGTCATAACTACAGTAGATACAAACACAGAGGGTTTGAGTTGGTAACAACAGTGGATACAAAGGTACAAAGTAGCTTTCCAGAACCTTCACTCTCTCTCTTCCTGAGTGGTGAAAAAAGCTTCTAACCTAGTTGACCCCTGAAACTTGGCATTTGTGATCGAGATCATCACTTCTCATAAAATGTATATAAAAAAGCTTCTAACCTAGTTGACCCCTGAAACTTGGCATTTGTGATCGAGATCATTATAATCAACTTTTTCTTCTCATAAAATGTATAATGATTGTGGGGCCCCAGGTGTTTATGACTGGTGTTAAACCACTCTTTGTTTTTTGAACTGTACAGGGGTCTTATCTTGGGAAAATCATGGTTTCAGCATAAGTTACACCTTAGATCTTATACATTCCCATGTAATAGCAGACCATAATGTCATAATACCATAAGTTTAACAGATGGCAATAAAAATCTGTTCTGTTATGAATACTGAGGTCTGCAGGAGAGAACTGAAGTACTTTTAGAAAGCACCAACTAGTTATAGGAATATTTGCCCTTGGGCTGTATGCCTCTGTTCCACAGATAAATGTCTCAAAATAGTAACACATAAATTGATTTGTGAGGTGAACAGTTGAATTTCATGAATAAAGGCTACTGGAAAAAGTAAGAAATTATATTCTTTATAAAAGGAAAAAAAATAAAGAATGAAATCAAATTAAACCTATCTTAAAGAGCTTTTTTTTTTATTGTGACATTGCATGTTTGCCCCCAAATTCTCAATGTTGCACATTGTTGTTTTAGTATCACCATAAATTGATTTGTGAGGTGAACAGTTGAATTTCATGAATAAAGGCTACTGGAAAAAGTAAGAAATTATATTCTTTATAAAAGGAAAAAAATAATGAAATGAAATCAAATGAAACCTATCTTAAAGAGCTTTTTTTTTTTATTGTGACATTGCATGTTTGCCCCCAAATTCTCAATGTTGCACATTGTTGTTTTAGTATCATTGAGATTCTATTACAGTTTTCATTCAATATCTTCATTTTCTATTTCTGGTTTCAGGTTAATTTTAGTTAAAGCTGTAGTAATTTTGTTGTATGTTTTTGGCATTTACAAAAAAAATATATCAATATGGTTTTGTATTTCTTTTTCACTTTTAGATGTAATAATTATAGTTTATCAAGTTAAACCAAACAAAAATTAGAAATGTTGCCTTGGCAACCAGCTGAAATATAATAAGTTTTTTTAATATATATTTTATTTTAATTTCAAGTGAAAAGGTTTTTTGTGGTTTCAGTTTTCATCCTGTCTGGACACAATATTTTATTAAAATCAGCAAAAATTAAATTCAAATTCAACAACAAACATTGTTTTATACTTACAACTGTTCTTTACAATATAAATAATATATCATTTTTTCCTTGTTGAAAATGAGATTTTACATTGACAGTTGTCAGAGGGAGGATAAATGAGCTTAAATATCATGAATAATGTTGCAAAAAAAAAAAAGGACCTTTTATGACTAAGCTCCAGCAAATGAGCTACTAACTGCACGGTCTCTTCATACACTCTTGCTGGTTTAAGATAAATTTTTTTCTGACTCTTCTTGGCCTGCAAATCATTTGATATTACCAGGATTTTCCATTTAATTTTTTTCCCCAGAATGATATAGTGTTTACTCACTTGAGAAGACCTTGTGGTATGTTGGTCTTGATGAACGGGATCGCGCCCTGCTTCTTCAGCACTGTAACCACCACACTGTCCACGAGCGCAGGCTGATCCAACTTACTCACCACACCACAGGAAGTGTCATGACCCTGCTCACACAAACAGGATGTTACATACACCTCAAACAGGAAGACACTTCTCTGAACCTGTCTAACCATCATATTCACCTCATATGCGACGTTGTCCTTGATGCTGATGGGCACTCCGTACAGAAGACCTTTCTTTTGAGACTTGATGTCTTCCAGCTGTGCCACAGACTCCATTAAGATCTCAGTGCTGCAGTTCAGATTCTTGTTCACCTCCAGAGCCTTTGAAGTACAACATTACACAACTCAACAAAGAGTTTTCTTTTCCTGCTGGCCCTGTGCACTTTTTCACACGGATCCCAAAGTAAAGAAAGCAATATATGATATATATATATATATATATATATATATATATCATATATTGCTTTCTTTACTTTGGGATCCGTGTGAAAAAGTGCACAGGGCCAGCAGGAAAAGAAAACTCTTTGTTGAGTTGTGTAATGTTAATAGTTAATAGTTGTATCTCAGCCAAATATTGTCCTATCATAACAAACCATACATCAACGGAAAGCTTATTCAGCTTTCAGAGGATGTATAAATCTCAATTTCGTTTTTGTGGTCCAGGGTCACATATATTATTGCTTATCCTCTTTTAAGAGGAGAGATGTTTTTTTATTATTACTATAGCTAACATTTATAATATAAGTAAAATATAAGTAAAACTACTAGTAAATGTTGTACAGAATAGATTACACAAGACAGCTCAATGTCTCAAAATTGTAAACCTCTGAAGCTAGCCATAAACTCATAAATATCATACACTAGCCACATGTAAAATATGGCAGCAGTCCCAACCTTTTCCATTAAGGCATAAAGCACAGCGTCTGGCTGCAGAGAGCCGTCCTTGAGTTTCCCAGTGAGCTCAGGCAAAGACAGAGACACTATAGAGCTGCTCTCAAAGTCTGGGTTCTGGAAAGACGAGAGAAGCAACTATCACATATTTAAATAAATCAATATATAATAGAGGAGACTGGGGCTAGTTGTCTCAAGTGCTTGATCTGAGTAACTAGAAGGTTTTGAGTCAAAAGTCCAATTACACAAATGCTTTTTTTCTCTAGCAGTGTGATTTTATAAGTTGGTTTCCAAACATCTAGTTAAATGTGTCAAATTAGTTTAAACTAAAATTACAGTATCATAATGTTCTTGTAACATCAGTTATGTAAAAATGGAGAACTACACCACACTCACCGCCATTCAGAAAAGAGTCAACAATATAGTGAAAATAGACTTTGTCTTTATCTGATTCTCTATAAAAAGCAGACTGCACTGATAAAAATTATTCTGTGGTGAAGTAAATACTACAGATTTAGTGCAGGCAAGAATAAAATCAAATCAAATAAAAAAATCTCTATTAGTACTCAATTCAAGCTTGCAAAAATTAAAGTTTGAACTTACAAGTATATTTTACTTGGAATTGTTTTTGAGTAATTATCAAAAATATGTTTTAAATATGTAAATATCTTTTACATGTGTTTAATTACTCTATTTGAGCGGCACAAGAATGGAAAATATAGTGGATTTTGTTACAGCTTCCATTTGTACAGTTACATAAACTTTACTGTTTACATTTAGCTTAAAGATTGACAGTAGCAGAAGATTCCATTGTGACAACTTACCCCATATTATGTGACACTATCATTTTTATACACGACAGGCACATTCATAAACACTTACTCTACACACAATGCATATTCCATGTATATTGCATTAATAATAGATGCATGTTAGTTTTTATACCTGTATTTTAAATTGTTGCACCGCTTGTTCAGCCTGTAGAAGAGATGTATCTCGTCTTTTCCGTGCGTTTAGTATTTTCTTCTGAATCTTCTGGTAATTTCTCCATTTCAAGAAGAGATATAATGCACCTGTACCGCAAACTGTGGCTGCAATCACCGGCGTCCAGTTAATATCCATGTCTAATTCAAGCTGCTGCACATTAAAGCGCTCCATAACTGCTGCTCAGTGCGTGTGTGTGTGTGTGTGTGTGTGTGTGTGGCGATCGTGCTCTCATGAGCTGTGAGTCACCGGGTGTTTTTAAGAACCCGGCCATAGTGAACAGGGTTGCCAGGTTTTCACAACAAAACCCTCCCAATTGCTACTCAAAACTAGCCCAATGACATTTTGAGTGGGGCTCCCCGTTAAAAATCGCGTTCCGGGGGAGGTAAAATACACGTTTTTGGCGGGGTTCCTTCCCCTGGTAAAATTCGCACTCCAGGGGCTAAATAATTTCACGTTATCGGGGTCGCTTTAACCCGCGGCAACAGTGACAAAGTAGCCCAATTCCGCGGGAGAACCGCGGACTTGGCAACACTGATAGTGAAAGACATCAAAAGAAACTGTCCGCACTAGAGCTCCACTTGGAGATCTGTGGAAGAGAGGTAGTAATGTTCAATATGTGGTTAAAAGTATGCAGAATGCACTTAATGAAGTGGGAAACTTTTTGACGCTGACCCATATGCTATACATCCATAATCTATAGTTGACCTAATTAATGCGAAATATATTTTTTCCAATGAGTGACGCTTGACGCCCCAATCAATACATCTTAACCTGTTTTTATTTCTACTTTATTTTATTTTTATTTGTACTCCAGGCCAACAGCTGGCAGCAGAACATTTACAATGTAACGCAGATCAACGCTGACAGGTTAGGGTTCCTTTAACCACTGGTTTTTAGAGGCAACAATTTTATTGCTAATGCAAAAACAGTGACAAAGTAGCCCAATTCCGCGGGAGAACCGCGGACTTGGCAACACTGATAGTGAAAGACATCAAAAGAAACTGTCCGCACTAGAGCTCCACTTGGAGATCTGTGGAAGAGAGGTAGTAATGTTCAATATGTGGTTAAAAGTATGCAGAATGCAATTAATGAAGTGGAAAAATGGACAGATAAATGGGGATTTCGTTTATCAGTGTCGAAAACACAGGTAATTTGTTTTTCAAAAAAGAGAGAAAGTCCTAATATTAGATTAAAGCTATACGGTAAACCTTTTGAACAAGTGAATGTGATAAGATATTTGGGGGTATGGTTTGATTCAAAACTGACATTTGATTTGCCATTTATATACAACAAATAATTGATAAATGCAAAAAAGTTTTAAATATATTAAATATATATAATGTTTAAATGCATGTTACCTAGGCTACCTAGCTACCTGCACCTAAGGATATCACAGCTTTTCTCCCTGTCAGGATCTTTTAGGCAATTTTGAGCGCAGCTCGTAGTCTTCCTCTTATGCAGGGATCTGATTTCCATCTGCACTAGTGTTGCTACGTTCGTGAACGAATCGTTCTTTTTGAACGAATCTTTTAGGTGAACGAATCGTTCACGTGATCCATTGACTCATATTTCTCGTTCACTGAAATTCCTCCCTCCACAGCAGCGCATGCGCAGATCAGTGAACCGGGTAGCTCTGTGGACTGTTTCATCCTGTCAAAGAATGACTAAACCTCGAGCCAATAGCCTTCGAGTATGAGATGTGACGGACCATGTGATTTGTTGAATGTAGTGAACGAATACGCCCTCAGTGTTGCCAATTTAGTAATTTTGGTGAACGAACTGAAAATGAACGAATCTCTTGAAAGAATCAAAATTTCCATCACTAATCTGCACAGGAAATGGAATGATGAAAGTTGGAGCGGGGCAAGTTTTTTTTTTAAGAATAGAATTAAAATAGAGAGTGCTAGAGTTAGAGGGTCAAATAAATGGTCAGCACTTTAACCAAACATTATTTTTTAAAGGTATGGACTGTCAAAAAAAAAATGTTGTTTAATAATAAAGTAAAAGAAATTCATTTTAAAAGCAATCGTCATTAATACCCTTGTAATAAATATCTAAGTCAACTTAACCATAATATTTCTCCACTCTGCTCATTTATTCTATTTCTGTTATTATTCTAAACAACTCTGGCTTCAAATATCAGCTTCTATTTCTTGTGTTCCACCAGCTCTGTAGTATTTCCATCAGTAAGGTTCTTTTCCGTTCTGATATTTCTAACAATAAGGAGTTAAACGATGTCTTAAACTTTATTTGTATGATGGGTAAATTCCATATCCACAAAGCTAGATACCTTACATTTAAACCCAGCTGCAAAATATTTGCTTCTGATCTATATTTATTATTATTATCATCACTTGAAAAAGTCTCCTCTAATAAAAAAGCTCTGAAGACATCTCGTATTATAGAACAGTTTTTAATTCAATTGTAATTTGTTAATTTTTTCGTCTCTCCTCTGTATTGCTCCATATGTTCTTTGTTCAGTATTATTTATTTCTTTTGTATTGAATTATATTTCTGCAAAGTTTTGTAAAGACATTGACTTGAAGTGTGTTTTCTGTAAAGAGGAAAATGAGAGTAGTGTCCATTTATTTTATGTATTTATAAAAAACTATTTTGCTGTGATTTTTTATTTGTATTTTTGTTAAAAAATACTAAGATTGAATTGCAACTCAAAGAAAAGGATGCTATACTGTTGACTTCAAAATTTGGTATAATGTGAATTTACTCATTATATATAGAAAATTCTTTATTCACAAATGTAAATGGACAGTGATAAAAAAAAAGTTTTTACTCATTTTAAAATAGAAATAGGCCACTACCTGCACACATTAAAAGAAGCAAGAAATAACAAGGCGAAAAAACTGTAAAATATTTTAAAGTCTTAAATCTATTCTTTGAATAATTTGTAACTATTTGTACTTGTTTATGGACATGTGATTTTCTTATTGCTTTCCTTTTATTATTTTTTTATTATAATTTTTGCTTATTATTGTATTTGTTTTGATGTAATTTAGCCTATATGTTATTGCCCTTGTATGTTCATTGTTCTAAAGATTGCAATAAAAAAAAATAACTTCACTATTTTGAGAATTTGTGTCGAATACAGAATGATCCGCACAGACCGATGATGGCAGGACTCTAAATATGTTTATTTACAGCTGAAGTGGCTAAACAGCGTGAACCGGAAGTTGACAGAGGTGGACCGTCTCTCTTTGCACGAAAGCACTTACAACTTCCGGAAAGGGTCACGCTGTCCTCCATCGGCGCATATCACAGTCCGCAGAGGGTCACATCAGGGAAAACTCAGCTGAAATCATGGTTTTCGAAGATAAAATGATCACGAATGGAGAGCCAGAGGAGGTATAGTAGCCTATACTATTTTACAGAGCGGTTTAAATGTCATTTAGTGTGTTAAAGAAGCCGCTTTATGTAAATCCGCTCTGGTTGATGGGCCGAGCCTGATCTATACGCTGAACCTAATGTACATATTTACTGTTATTTTATGCTTCTGCTGTCTAAACTGTTGCGGGAGATTTTGCCTTTGTCTTGTATGAGTAAATACTTGTTGTTGTTGTTGTTGTTGTTGTTGTTGTTGTTGTTGTTGTTGTTGTTGTTGTTGTTGTTGTTGTTGTTTTCATACTATTTATGTACATAAGCATTTATATGTAGCCAAATAATACACTGTGTTGTGTTCAGGAGGAGGAGGAAGAAGAAGAGGAGGAGGACATGGTGGTATGTCTTGTATTATAAAGCAATATTATATTGGCATAGTATGTCCAAATAAGTTAAAATTAATTAAAAATTATATTTAGCAGTTGTTCAAAAGTGATTAATGGATACTGTCATGCCCTTGATCAAGAATCAGTCTTCTGTAAGCCACTTTGGATATATAGCTATATATACTAATCATCTTACTTATAATTTCACATACATACATATATATATATATATATATATATATATATATATATCATGAAAACGTTAGTGACAATGTAATTTCACCCCCAATTCAAAGAAAATGCATCTGCATGCAGCAATATGGCAGGCTCCATAACATGTACGAAGAACATGGCCAAAATCGTCACATCTGAAAAAGTAGATCTTGTGGATGCCTTGTGAACACAGCTGTGCAGTTTTGATGATTTTCTGAATTTATGGTGCCACCTAGAATTGTAAGTCTGTAATAAATTTGACACGTATCCTTACATTTCGCTCGTGTCCTTATTTACCAGTTCTTATTCACTTTCATTTCAGTCAATCCCAAGACCGAACGTTATGTCTCAAGTCTCATATCATAGATGATGTGCATCTTCGTAATGTCTTGATGTCTATGCATACTGAGTTGGATGAAGATTGTTGTTGAATGTTTGCTCCTCAGGACCCATTAGAGACGGTGCGGGAGAAGTGTGAGCAGACAGAGCATTGCGTTCACACTCGTGAGCGGCTCGAGGCGTGCGAGACGCGGGTCGGCTCGCGCTCAGAGACAACGGAAGACTGTACGGAGGAGCTCTTTGACTTCCTGCACGCTCGTGACCACTGTGTGAGTGCTGGTGCTCTGGATGTTAGATGTCAGTGATTGCTACGGAGGTTTAGATTAGAGTCTTTGACTTTGCTAAGATGCTGGTGACTTGTTTACAGATTAGGTTTGAAGTCACACACCTAACTTCGAACAGTAGTTTAACCAAAATTATAAATTCTATCATTATTTATTCTCTCGTTTGTCATAACAAACTTGTATGCTGCTACTTTTTTCAGTGAAAAATTCTCCCAAAATTATAAATTTGTGACAGAATTTTTGTTTTTGAATTAACTGTTTAAAATTATTTTTTATATTCATTATAACTTGTTCTGCTCTGTTTGTTTTCTGCAGGTGGCCCACAAGGTTTTCCAGTCAGTCAAATAAACGGAGCATCTCAGCGCTCGGTTATATATATATATATATATATATATATATAACATGTGATTTGAAATTAAATTTTATTTTATTTTACCCATTTTTTTTTTTTTTTTTTTCATGTAATCAATCAGTAAATTGCAGAAGTGCTTTAAACATCCTGACGTCTTTCCTATCGGATTTGCTCTGTTAGGCGGGACTTGCACCACTACAGCGTGTTTCATTGGCCACATCAGCGCCCGGAAGTTAAAGTCGATAGAAATTGAACCAATCAGCGTTATTTCCGTAGAATTTGAGCAGCTAGAATAGAAATTGACATGAAATAAGATTGTTTTAACTGGCGGAATTAGAAGTTCTGTATTTACCGAGTGTTCTTAGCTCAATGGATATTAAGTTATTATTCAGATGTAAATTATTAAATACGTGAATTATAAAAATGTTTTGTCACGTGGTATCTGCTACTTTTCTCTGCGCTGGGCTGATTGGACCAATCGCAATCGTGAGTGATTAAAAAGGTACGATTTATACAGTTAATTTTATAGAGATTTATGCTAGCAGCTTTGCATTTGTCGATCAGGCATTAATTATTGTACTATATACATTTAAGCTATTATACTCTATAGTGTATAAATATCCCACATGAGCGAAAAAATAATTAAAAGACAATGCAGCGATAATGATTAGATTCATCTTTCTGAGCCGCCGAGCGCCACCTGGACGAATAGCTACTTTTGCCGTCCGATATTTCCTTCGAATACATTTTTATTTCCCAAACACGTGACGGAGGCACAACTGTAGAAATGTATCAAGCACACGCTCCGGTGCAGAAAACACTCTCTAGAGCAGAACTGGGGATTTCAGATGGAGGCTCGTTGGTGCAACTGTGCATCGTTAAAGTTGCTCAAAACATGGATGTGTTGGAAAGAAAGGTTGCGAGTGAGGTTTACTTAAATTATTTGTTGTCAATCTCAAATTAAGACTTAATATGTAACAACTGAATACTGGACGGGTTTGCCGTTTATTGACATAAAGGACGTGATGGAAAACATTTGGACATTTCTAATATTCTTTCCATGTCAATGAACTTTTCCACGACATTCTAATTTATTGAGATGCAATCTTTAATGCATCTTAAAGAGATGCGATTTGTTTTCGTTATGAAACACCTGCATGTTTGAGAGTCCCGCGCAGAGTTCACACAACACTACGGCGTTTCGAAAATAAATACTGCTCCGGCGAGTTCGCAAACCAATTTAGCGTTTTATATTAATATTATTATAAATATATAATTTTAATATTTATATCAGTAGAATATAAATATATAGAAATATGTTTAAACATATATCGATATAAAGAATGGTAAACAACGTGTTTTATATTTGATATGATTAATATGTATTATTATTTTTATTACATTACGGGATTTGTCATTACTTGTTAGTGTAAGTGAGCCCATGGCATCAAAATGGAAATATATAAGTTATAATGTCTTGGTGATTTTATTTTAATAACAGTAAATGATAGTTTTAAACAACTGAAATTTCCTTAAGGTTTATGTGCTTAATATGCATTTATAGATTCTATTAGATTCTTCTTAGTTCTAAGGTTTGTCTGAATGTTTTGCACATATTTGATATAAACGTCCACTGTGACTGTCCACTAGATGCCGCAGTTGTGTTATTTACGTTGACAGCAGCAGCAGGGTCTTGTGCATTCTGATTCTCAGGGGTCAAATATCATGAATTCATCATCTCTTGTGTGAAAAATAACAGAAAAGGCAAGTACAATTATAGTAGTTCAGCATTGCTAAAGCCCCGGAGAACATAAATATCTCCATTGCATTTTGCACAGCTGCCTCGATCCCATGCTTTCACTCAACTTTTGTTCTAAAAGACCCAGACACTAACAGCATGCGGCATGATCAGACGCTTCAGTCTGTGTTTTGTGGAAACATGTTGTGCTGTGAGAGCATTCAGACACACCATTCATACGGAAACGAGGCCTCAAACAAGTTAACATACTATCGCAATAACATTTAGTATAACATATATTAGTTCGAAAATGCATTATTGTTTTTTTTTTAATAGTGGTTTAGAGAGAGAAACTGTGACTTGTCTGGTATGAAAATGTTGGTGCAAAGCAAAACACAAAATGAGCCACGTGGTATGACACACAAAGATAAAATGTATCTCTCTTTAAATGCATCATCTGTATAAAAATCTGAGCAATAAATTCCAGGTATATACATTTTATAAATAATAAAAAATATAATTATGATAACATGTATACGAAAAAAAAATGACAATAAATACATCAAACAATAGCAGTAATTTCCCTTAAATAAAGCAGGGGATGCATAGCATCCAAAGGGTAAAATGATGCCATCCTGAAGGAAAAGAATTCACTGCGCCGCTGGGAAACAAAAAGAGCAGTTCAAGACTAAACCTGCTTCCCTCAGATCTCAGAGGAACAAAACCGACCAAAACCTTCCAGATTATCAGAACAGCATTACTGCGTTTGATATAAAGGTGAGTGAAGTGTCAGTGAAGAACATGACATGATGAATAAAGCCTCTCCCTGTATGACGTCTTTCAAATGTTGGGTTGTATAGTAGATAATCTATTAGATCTATGATCTACGAGTCAAAAAACAGAAATGCAGAAAAGAAACAAACAGGGCCAAAACACTGCAAGTAATCTAACAAAACATTAGGTTAAACTGGTGTCTACTGTATGATGTTCCCTTTCATGGGAACTTCGAACTGCGTCCTGGAATTTTGTTGTTGAAATTCCCTTAGTCATAAAATGCCAAAAAAAAAAGGATGAATCGCCTGACTGGTCACATTTAAAAATAAAAATAAAATAAAATAATGCAAATTGATTAGGTTTTTCATTACTGTGACAGTCATGTTATGTACTACAGTAAAAAAAGCATGTACAACAAATACTGCTGTACCATAATGCATAAATACAATGTAAAAGTTATGCATCATTAATTTTTCACATTACATTATTGAGAATGTGAATTTTGGGGGAAATGTATTGAATTGATGAAAATAAAAATATCATGAAAATGTCAAAAACTTAATTGGCTTAAACAATTGGTCAAATGTCCTGTTTATTTCTATTGAATTTAGCGTGAATAAGTTCACAGGTAGTTATAGTGTCTTTGAGAACATTACAAGTGATATACGAGTAAAGTAAACCATGAGATTAATACAGTAAGTGTGAGAAATGGAATAGAAGCACGTGACGGTCGATTATAGAGGTGTAAACCACAGATTGCATTTCTACTGCTCACTGTCCCTACCTGAGGTCATCTGCTATTTATCTATCTATTGCTTTGGTATTTCATTCACCTAACAATAAGTCAACACCCAAAAACATAGAACAAAAACATGAAATGTGACAATGTCTCAATTAAAATACATTTTGGTAAACCGGTACAGTGCTGTGTGCTGCGAACTTTAGCCAGGACACCTTTTCATTTAACTGACAAATCAAATGTCACGTACCCTGACAAAGATCCAGTCCATAATCAGACATCCACTCGAGCAGTGAAACAAAATAACAATGTTGATCAAAGAAGTTTGAATTTAAAGAGGTATTTCTTGATAGCAATGTTTATGGAATATGGCATCAGGATAACTGGTTAGCTGTCGGTTGTGTTTGTGCAAGTGTATAACGCCAAGAGCACATTACAAGATGGTCACAAGTCAACCTGAGCCATTTAAACACTCACGGGTGAACTCACTAAACAGTTTTGCACGCAAAAACCTGCATATTATTCATTAACGACCTGCAGTCTTGTTTAATCTGCGCTGGTACAGCATCATTACTTCAGTCTTCAGTGTCACATGATCCTTCGGAAATCATTCTAATATGCTGACTTGCCGCTCGAGAATATATTATTATCATTGCTGAAAACAATTGTGACCCTGGACTACAAAACCAGTCATAAGAGTCAATTTTTCGAAATTGAGTTGAATAAATAATAAGCTTTCCATTGATGTATGGTTTGTTAGGATAGGACAATATTTGGCCGAGACACAACTATTTGAAAATCTGGAATCTGAGGGTGCAAAAAAATCAAAATATTGAGAAAATCAGCTTTAAAGTTGTCCAAATGAAGTTCTTAGCAATGCATATTACTAATCAAAAATTAAGTTTTGATATATTTATGGTAAGAAATGTACAAAATATCTTCATGGAACATGATCTTTACTTAATATCCTAATGATTTTTGGCATAAAAGAAAAATTGATAATTTTGACCCATACAATGTATTTTTGGCTATTGCTACAAATATATCCCAGCGACTTAAGACTGGTTTTGTGCTCCAGGGTCACAATTGTGCTGCTTAATTTTTTTGTGGAAACCAGAATGTTTTTTTCAGGATTTTTTGATGAATAGAAAGTTCAAAAGGGCATTTATACGAAATTTAAATCTTTTGTAGCATTATAAATATTTTTACTCTCACTTTCAGTCAGTTTAATACATTGTTGCTGAATAAAGGTATTAATATCATACTGACCCCAAACTTTTGAACAATAGAGTAAATTAGGTCATTGACATTCTTTTAAATCCAAGAATGATTCATTTCTATGTAAAACAGGCCTATTATAGACATTACAACATTATTCACAAAATTCAACACGTGCACTGCTTATGGAAAGCAGGCGGAATTTTGTTTCAAAGTGAAAAGAGTTGAAAAGAGTTAAAAATAGTTTGTGTACATTTTTTAGCGATCATGGCAGCAGTAATTCATCTAATGATGATCAGATGATGGAAGAGAGTGTTATAACTGGGCATACGTCCAGACATGCAGTGTAACCAAGCACTATTTCATCAATATAAAGAGCCGATGCAGAAATCCACCACTTAGCATTCAGAGCCGGCCTGCAAACTGGAGATCTGCTGCATGAACAAATGTTTGGCCTGTGTCTGAAAAACACCTGGAACTTTTTGTTGTAGACTATACACACAAGCATAAAAAGGTGACGTGCTTCAGTCTTGTAATGTGCACATGGCTTAAGGAAAGTATGTGTATATTAAACACACATGCTAAGCTGATAAGTGAATTAAAAGCACCTTCTGTTCTGTTATAATGAACCTTCATGGTATCCACGTTCTTAAAACATCTCCAGTTTCTCAATCTCATAACACCTAGAGGCAGATAATGTGAAATGTAGGCCTTCAAGTTACTTTTCACAAACTTTCCATGCAGTCTGGAGCAGGAATCTGACGACTCGCTTCACAAGTCCAGTTTTTAGCTCTCTGAGGTCACATGATGCAAATCCCTACGGTTTCCGACTGTCTCCCTGCAGGACGTCCCGTATTCCTGTGGCTCCCGTGCTGACGGTAGCAGATTCGCTGGGTTTGTAGTGCATCATCAGGAGCGCTGCATCCGATTCCTTGCACTGGAATTTCCTCGCTTTCTATACCGGAGCTTTGGATTGATTTTACCGGCTGCATCTCCTGGGCTTCTCTCATCCCACACAGCTGCAGTTGGCTGCTGAAAGCCATTTGATGGTCTGCCAACTCGTCTGGGCGTCCATGAAAGAGATGGTCTCGAAGCGTGTGGGTCTGCAGCAGGGTTGAGTGCTCACCTTGCGGCTTGGAATACTGCCGTTATCTGTCAGCACCTTCAGGGCAAGGTCGTAGTTCTTACGGGCGCTCATGCACGTCCCCACGCAGTACTTAAACAGCACGATCTCATCCGAGTCGTAGCCGAGGCCCAGATCACGCACCCTCATCTCTTTTCTCTCCAAACGGCAGTCCTGGCTGCTCCGGCCTCGCTTGCGGTTGCGCCGTTCCTTACGGTTCCTCGGAGATTTCTGTGAACTGGAGCTATTTGTAGAGGAACGCTGCCACCGGATCCGATGACCCTCGCCTTCCTCGGCCAGGGACGAATCTGAGGAGACAGAAAACACGAGCTGATGATATGATATGATGAACGTGATCAAACATAAATATTCTGTCATCATTACTAATTACGTTACAAACTCAAATGACTTATTTTATTCTGGGCGACAGAAAGGTGAAATTTTGAAGAATATCTTAGTAGCTCAAGATAAATTGGGGCTATTAAGTTTCAAAATGACAAAAAAACACCTTAAAAGCATCACAAATTATACAACATTTAGTTCTGGTCCTTGATCTGATTGGTTGAGCAGCATTGCATAAGTGCTACTATAACAGTCCAACAAGCATTGGAATTTTCAATGTTTCACATTCTTTTTTTTTAATGCAAACTCTATTTTAAAGATTTATTGATTATTAAATGTAGAAAAAGTTGACATTACATCAAGAATGAAATAAAGTTAACTTTTAGGCTATTTTGTGTGAGCCAACTGCAGCAAGAAGTTTGGTGGTGAGGGTTCAGCTAACAACACTGATTATATAATTTGTCTGTTTGGTCAAAGCATGGGGACCTATAATGATATAACTTTATGTTTATAGATTTAATAGACATTTTAGCATAAAAAGTAGTCTCACACAAAAGAGGGTCTTTGAGACACTATAGGTTTGTCTTTACTTATATACGCCGTTTCGTTACTATTTACAGTCTGTCAAAACATTTACTTGCAGAAAAGCAATATCACACTCGCAATTGTGCGTTATAGCCATATATGATGGTGATTACCTCGTTTAATTGCTTTAGTAGGCCATTAAAAAAAAAAATCTGAAAATATTAAACATAATTTATTTGCTAAAAATCTAACCTTCACTGTAATTCTCAAATCACATACAGCCAATAAATGTGCCATAATCATGTTTAATGCAAATATCATTTGGTCACAAGATACAAATGAGAGCCAATGATATTTGACTTAATTGACATATGTCATGATCACCAGCTGGAGTGCCCTGGTTGTCCACAGATTTCGGCCACTCTATCAAGGACTTCATTCCCCATAATCCGCTGCTAATCAGCGCTCATTGTTTGCACATGTGTCTCATTAGCATGGTTAGCTCACCCTATATAAGCCAGGTTCTCAGTAGCTTGGTTTTCATCCAAATTTGAGAATTTAACTTGTGCGCAAAACTGGAATATCGCATAAAACATTTGTGAATAAGCATCGTTCAAAGAGAACAAAATCGTCACTTCCTGATAAACTGGCACTATAAATCACTAAGAAAAGTAGGAGAATATAATTTTCATATATAATAAATTACTTGCGCCTCAGAGCGAGCAGATGAAACACAATGAATGCGGTCATTGCTTTCGGAGGTGGATGCTGCTGTTTGGGAACGCAGTCGTGTAAGACATTTCTGGGAGGCAATTATACAGAAATACTTTGATGACAGACTTTGCTCGTGCATTTCCAAATGACCATAACAACATTTCAGATGCTGTGGAATGAGATCGGTCCGCTGGTTAGTCAGGTTTTGCCGTCCCATAGCGCAAAGTCACATGACTTTTTTGATGCGCTTGGAGGAATTTATTCGCCAAATGCATTTCCATCTCCCATTATTCGCATCAACCCTTTTTCGCACAAGTCAAAAAGCACCTCAAGCGAGCGTAAAAACTTTTGCCGAATTAAGGGATTTTTATTCTAAATTTGGCGTTTCCATCACTCGTTTCTCATGCGATACTTCAAAATGCGCATTAAAATAGGGTGATGGAAACATAGCTACTGTCATTCTTTGCTAAGTTTTGAATGTGTCTACTGCAATTCTAAGCCTTGTATACTCCAGTATCTTGGCTCCTTGTCATGTTATTCTTCCTGTTTTCTGGATTACTCAACCTCAACCCCTTACTCTGTCCTTGTTTTGGATTGCCTATTTATGTATGACCTTTGCCTGCCTTTGGATGACGTTTGTGGATTACTCCTTCAATAAACTACTGCATTTGGATCCTCTACCTTCGTGTCACCATGCAGTTCATGACAACATAAAACCTAATGCTACACTGTACAAAATTATTTTTCACAAAGTTGTAAATAAAACAAAGATTACAGGAGTACGTTTTAATGTTTAATTCAATGTATTATTTGCCGATTCTTTGTAACTATTGAAATTTGAACTTTGGAAAGTCCCTAGCAATTTCTAAGTGAAAAATGTTTCAAAGTAAATCCTAAAAAATTTATGTATATTTTTCAGTGTACATGTCTATAACAGCAACTAATGGATTTGGCCTCTACAGTGGAGGGCAATATTTTCAATGCATTTCTGTTCCTGTTCTGTTATGACATCATTTCAGAACACTTGGAATATAATGCAATAACTTACATTGACTATTTTCAGTATCAGAGTTTTATGCTATATTGCATTTTTGACAGAACCCGTCCCATCCACTTTCATTATATGGAAAACAGTGGCCATTTTCTACACAAAAAAAATCACCTTTTGTGTCCCACAGATAGAAAGTCATTCTGGTTTGGAATGACACTGGCATGAGTACAAGATTTTTGGTTGAACTATTTCCCCAGAGGATACAGATTCTGGCACGTGGCTCTGATGCATTAAAATAGTCTCAATTCCTGCCAGCACAAGGCACATCCGCCCACTGTAATGTAACACTGGCATTTAGAAAGGTGATAACACTAGTGGCCCTGGTTCACGCCTCAGCAGCTGATTGTGTAACGTGTGCACGTCTCTCCATGGTGTGAAATTCCTCCTGCTGTTTGCAGAGCACCTTACTGCCACTGCACTGGACTATTATTGTACTGTAACTCCTGCAACTGCAGCATGCAGCGCTGAAAACATCCCACAACATGCCACATCATGTTTATAGAGTTTTGTTTAAAGTCACAAGGTGAGTAGAACCTTAGAATATGATTCAAACTTTCTCCAGGCGAAGATTGCAGCAATTAGCTTCCAAGGGAGCAATTTGCTGTGTCAAAACCTGCACGGAGGAGCTTTGGATTATTTAAAGTGGAACATAAAATCGATAAGGAAGAGCGTGCTGAGATTATTCTATCGCATGCATGAGCCAGGGAAAAACATGTCAGATGCACTGGGTGTGAAAAACTGGTGTACAACATCTGAGTGTCTCAGTAAAGAAACAATCCTTCCTCTTAAATGTGAAGTGTGCCGTTTTTTATGTTGAGATCATTTCTCTTATCCCAGTTGATGCTGTAAGTTTTTTTTTTTACAATATCACAGAAAATGGTCCTACTACTTGATAGATACTACTGGTTTTCTTAAGGTTTAAAGACAAAGTATTCCTTATGCGCATCACAGCAATAAATTACATTTTAAAACATATTGACACAGAAAACAGCAATTTTAAATTGTAATAATATTTCACAATATTACAGTTTTTACTGTATTTTTGATCAAATACATGCAGCTTTGGTGAGCAGAAAAGACATCTTTTAAAAACATTGTTAAACAGTGTATGTTTTATGTATCTTCTTTGCAGACCTCCAGCACTAATCTGTAAATATATTGTGCATTTTAGCTGTTTTGTGTATTTTAATGGCCAGTCAGCATCCACTGATGGCGGTGTTTTTGAGTACGGGGTCTAATTCAGTGGCAGCAAAATGGTCAATATCACGGTTGACTTCCTGAAGAGTGTAAACACTGTGAGGCTGTAGCTCTGTAAAAACACGCCTGTTTGTTTGCCCAACATGTCAGCTTGTGGCTCAACCAATGCTGATCATGTTTATCATACTGCACAAAACAAAGTACATGGACATGCCGGCATTATATGTCAGAAGAGCCTTAGAGCTGACTACAGAGAAAACATTTCTATATCTTAAGTCTTTGTGGGTCCTCACAAGAGATACTCATGGTAAATTTGCATTCCACTTGTGTTTCTATATTATTATGTGCACAGATATTTTATTTCCACTGAACATAATGAAAATAGCACAAAAAAAAAAGAATAATTTGCAAGGAATTTGCCTCGAAGCAATGTGTCACTGTGACATAACACAGAATCACAGGATGAGAAGAACATCGTCTTAAATTTCAACAAAGATGTTCCCTATAAATACCGAAAAAGTGTTGAAGGATGAATGTCACATAAACATCACAGGTCACATTTCACCCTAAAATCAAAAGAAAAGAAGAAATCATATTTTGCATAAAGCAAGTGAGTCCTATTTATATTTCATTGTGACATTCATTGTAATCCCATTTAAGAACATTAACCCCCAACTTCTCATTACTGTAATGCTTCTAAATGATTCTAAGATTTCTTTACTGTTTTTTACTGATTTCAAACTATTGTAATAAAATGTTATACATATACGCAATGTTATATAAATGTTATATGCAGGTTAGACTTAACCTAAACCATTCTAAACCATAAAATCAGGATTTAGAGCAGGATTTGATTTGCCAACACAGAACTAACCAACTACACTGACCTAGACCTAGTTCCGTTTGAGCAGAAAAGATTTAATAAAATGTGCAAGTGTAAGAGTAAGGAGGCAAGATTGTGATACATTTATAATTAACATAGCATGAAAACTAGGTTGTTTTAAGCACATTAAATGCTGGGTTTGGCCTGTTCCATCTCAGAGGTCTTAAACCTTCTGTATGCAAAAAAAATTAAGTTAAAAAGTTAAAAAATAAGTTAAAAAATATACATAAAAAAAAAAATTTAAATAAAAAATTTGAAAACATAATGTTTAGCTGTCTCTTATTGTGTACGTATAAAAGTATATATATATACTTTTTTTTTTTTTTGGAATTAGGGGTTAAATATGATCTGGACATGTTTTTGACAGGTTTCGTGAGATTCACCCATTAGGTCTTTGTGAAGTGTCTGAGGTTACAGCAAGTGTAAAGCATCATTCCCAGAGGATTCAAAGCTCTGACAGTTTAGACAGAAAATGTAATAATAACTTAAGTAAGAAGCCTGAGAAGACAGAAAACAGATAAAGTCTTCTCAGACTGAACTGGTTTCAACTTCCATTCCTCCAACCTAAATTAGCAGGCTTCACATATCACAGAAAACACACAAATGAAATCTCCTTTGTTTATCTCAATTGTTTTTCCTACCCACAAATAAGATTAAGTTGAGAAAAAAAAATTATAATAATAAGACTTCTGTTTTAGTGGTCAAAGTCTGCAATGTAAAGTTAGAGATTTCAAAATAAACATTTCTCATCCAATTTCCAAATGATCTGATCCACTATCCACATTTTATAGCTTTATACACACTGTATGTCAACTATTGACTTATTTGTTAATATTTCTATTTCTCCTATGGGACAATGTTGATAGTTAATGAAACACAGTAACTGAGACCTTTATTGAGACCTTCACATCTGAAACATCTCAGTGAAGATCTGTGAGCTTCTGTCTGCTAAAGAATTAGCAATATGACTTGATACACAGCCTTTGGTACACACTTTGTGACAACATATCATTTTGAAATTGCTCACATCTATCACCAAGTGTTGTTGATGGGTTGATTTTACTGTAGGTACAGACAAAAAGTCTCCAATTTGAATTACATGCTTTGCAATAAAGTCAAAGGTGGATGAGGCTTGTAAACTAAAGTTAAGTGTAGTTGAAATGGGGAAGTTGTCAAAGGAGTTATATATCAATAACTAAGACTGTGAGTCAAAAGTGCAATTACATGTTTGTTTTCTCTAACAGTGTTTTATTGAATTTGGTACTTTAAAGCGGTCCGAAATTAGGATAATTTCTGTGAATTTTGTTCTGGGGTTTTAAAGACAATTAATATAGTTATATTATCAGTTTAACTGGACTGACACTATCAGATGAGAACAAAATTTGAACGGAACTGAGCTGGATAATGACATTAACTTTGCACTAAATTAAATAAACTGCATTACATTACATAAACATAAAGATTTAACATTACATAAAGCTGCATTACAGCCAAAATTGAATTTGTTTCATAAATGATGAAATTTATTCCATCAACACTGTTTTTTTTCTCTGTTTATCAACATTAATCTGCTTTGAAACTATCTGTATTGTATAAATTGCTATATGAAAAAAATGTTTTTTTCTTTGCATTTCTCCTCTTTTCTAACTTGCTTCCTAACCTAGTTGTCAAATAGACCTGCCATTGTATATTACGAATATTGTTGGCACTCTGATTAATTTTTTTCCCCCTCTTTTGCTTTGGATAAAAGCTAAATGCATAAATTTATTTTAAATGCATATATTTATTATTTTTATTTAACAATTTTTTTTTATAGTATTATCATATTCTGTAATATTAGATCTGAGGTTGGGGACAAAAGGTATAAAAAAATGAGCTTAGAATTCAATCACTCATTGATCATTCACTGAAGCAGAATGTGTGACAACTAGCCCCGGTTTGCTATACAGTGTCAGGGATGTACTGACCATGCAGTCGTGCCCATGGTGCTCTGCTCTGCCACTCATCTAGATCTTTCTGCGGTCCTGGATGTTCTGCAGAGGTTGAAGAGGCTCTCAGCTTGCTAGGACGGAGTTCTTCTTTCTCCTCCTGAAGGAAATGTCCATCAACGAGACCCAGAAGACATACAAACACAAGCAGCATCACCTGCAAGAGAACCAAAAGATGTCATAATCACTGATACAGCATGTACTGAACTGAAGTTGTTGTTATGATTGCAAAGAAAGAGCCAATAACACGCGCTAGTAGGAAATACAATGACATGAATCCTCAGGGTTAACCTAGTGCGCTGTCATGGCCTGCCCATTACTCGTCTGTGTTATATAAACCCTGACAGAGTAAACCGATCCTTGATGTCCGATCGGCCCATTCACATGTATACGCTTCCCACCCCCAACCCTGAACTACAGCAGACCTCCAGTCAGTGATCCTACACAGCCAACACTACAGCCTCTTTAATTACTTAAGCAACACCCAACACCGCCGTAGATCCCCATGAGTAAATATTTCAGGATGACTTTAATGAATGAATGTCTGTGGAGTGTCTGGCTGAAAGATCCAATGAGCCGGAGTGAAAATCAAGCATGCTGACACACAAACAAGTCCAAACGGACACGCTTCTGACACATTTGGTAGTGTAGTACAGGCAAGCCGAGACCAAACAGGTGTCATGTCAGGCAGCATCAAGCTTGTGTTTATTTAGTAGCTGATATCCCAAATGATATGAAGAATGCTCACCTTCCAGTTCCTCAGGTGACATCGGGCAGGTGCGGCCATGCAGGTGTCCAGACTTCTCCACCCTTTGCCATCTAGAAAGGAAAAGATGTATAATTTGATATGCATGCAAATATAATGGCACTAAGCAAGTGACTCTTAAAGAAACAGTCACCAACAAATGAAAATTTCCCATTATTTTCAGCAATGCATTTCTGAACATGATTTCAAAGCTTTGGTGGAAAGATCACTGAAGATCAGCTCTGCTACAGAAATAAGATGTGTAAAGGCTCTTCAGAATTTCTGCTTTTTGCATTTTATGGGGAAAGCATAGCAGCATATCTGACAGATGAATAATGAGAGAATTTCAATTTTATTGTGAGCAATTTCTTTAATATGTCACAAAATGAAAGTTATTTAATTGTTTTCTGTCTACATTCCCTCTGCTGAAAGCATCATGGGTAAAGAGATGTGAAGATGTGCAAATATCAAAAAGATATTATTTGACTGTGGTTTCATGACTTAGCAAGCCCTGTCTTTCCTTTATCATGCATTTTGCTAGTAAAGCCATGAAATTACATAACAAATATTTAGTCTTCCAAGACTATGTACTCATATTAAATTTTTCACAATTTTGCTATGGACATTCATCAAATTATGTACCCTAATGAGCAGAGGTATGCTTTTACTTTTCTAAGCCAGGCATTTTTAAATTTTGTAAAAATATGATCAATAATGATGATCCCTTTGCAAAGGACAACCTCTATATAATATGAAGGCAATTTTAAGACTCATTTATACCTTTTTTTAAAACAATAGTGTGTAATATAAAGAAACACATTTAAAAATGAAATAATTGGCATTTATATTGTCATTTTACTAAAGTAAAATGTAATTTTAATTTTTTTTTTCTCTAAAATGTCCCTCAGCCCCAAATTATTATTATTAGAGATTCAAAATAACTATTTATATGATTTTCATATTAAATATTGGTCCAAAGCAACCTTTTTTTCTTCATTTTTTACAGTTTATTTTCTCTGAAGTGTTCCGCAGATGCTCTAGCACCCCCTTGGGAAACCATTATTATTATTATTATTATAAATTCAAAAAATATTTAGTCTTCCAAGACTATGTACTCATATTAAATTTTTCACAATTTTGCTATGGACATTCATCAAATTATGTACCCTAATGAGCAGAGGTATGCTTTTACTTTTCTAAGCCAGGCATTTTTAAATTTTGTAAAAATATGATCAATAATGATGATCCCTTTGCAAAGGACAACCTCTATATAATATGAAGGCAATTTTAAGACTCATTTATACCTTTTTTTAAAACAATAGTGTGTAATATAAAGAAACACATTTAAAAATGAAATAATTGGCATTTATATTGTCATTTTACTAAAGTAAAATGTAATTTTAATTTTTTTTTTCTCTAAAATGTCCCTCAGCCCCAAATTATTATTATTAGAGATTCAAAATAACTATTTATATGATTTTCATATTAAATATTGGTCCAAAGCAACCTTTTTTTCTTCATTTTTTACAGTTTCTTTTCTCTGAAGTGTTCCGCAGATGCTCTAGCACCCCCTTGGGAAACCATTATTATTATTATTATTATAAATTCAAAATAATTTTTAATATGCTTTTCACACTAAATATTGGTCCAAAGTCAACTTTTATCTTTATTTTACAGTTTCTTTTCCCTGAAATTTCAGCCCAGACACTCTCCCATCCTTTCAGGTATGCTGGGATCCCCAAAAACTCATTTACTAAGCAACAGCACAATTTTCACCTAGCAACCAGACAGAACACCTTGGCAACCAGTTTTGGGGAAAGTTACTTTTAAAAGTAATGCATTACAATATTGTGTTACTCCCTAAAAAAGTAACTAATAGCGTTACTTAGTTACTTTTTATGGAAAGTAATGCATTACGTTACTTTTGCGTTATTTTTTCTTGTCTGGGCTGAGCTGCTTGCTTGTTTTCAATATAGAAAAGTTATATTTTTGGCAAATGTAAAAGCCCTTTCACACCAAAAGTGAAATGAATAAGCCTCAGGCTGAAGGAAATGTAAATTCAAAAAGTTCAAACACCATTCAGCTGTGCTGCCATTCTGAATTGCATGAAGAATAGGACGAAAGAGAAGAAAGTTCAAAAACAAAACAAATGTCATGTTTATTTAAAGTCATGTTTGCTTATTGTTGAATTGGATCATTGAAGGTCAGCAGCAAAGATACTGGGATTAAACACATACATTATTTTTGTGTTAACATTTAATTATTGCAGGTTTGCGCCATATTCTAAGTTTGCATTTCACTGTTCTTATTAATTTCTAGGAATACTGAATCTGTTTTTGTGCAAGTGAGATGAGTGAATGCATGTTCACATTTAGTCTAGATCTACAGTAACACCATGTTCACACAGCGCCTCTGCACTCACTCCTGATTTCTCTCAACATGAGGACAGGAGAGCTGTCAGTCAATAAATGGGAAAAGAAAGTAACAGGCGTTACTTATTTGAAAAAGTAACTCAGATATTTTCTTGTAAATAAAATGTAATGCATTACTTTTCTAGTTACTCGAAAAAAGCAATCTGATTACGTAACTCGCGTTACTTGTAATGAGTTACGCCCAACAATACTAGCAACTACACAGTACACCTAGCAATGCTGTGGAGATCACTCAGTACAGAATGTAGGTCTATTCTAATAAAGCATTCCACCTAAATTGACATTATATCATCATTAATCACATGGCTCTGACGGTTTCCTTGACCACATGTATAAACATGCAGCACGGAAACGGCACACATTTAAAGGCGGCTGCTATAAAATGATTAAACAACAGGATGTGATGAAAGTAGCAACACAATTCAGAGCTGACCTAGAGAGATTGTTTCACCTGCAGCCTTAAATATCAAATTTACAGCACTCTGTTGCTATGAATAACCCGCCACTGCCGAAGGCTGCAAGATGTTGTGTGCACTGACACAGTCTGCTCAGTTTGGCAGCTTCACTGAGTGACATAACGGTTAGCAGAAGATTTAAAACACTCTGTGATTGATCACGCTCTTCAATTATAAACTACAAGCATATACAACAATTAAAGCTGAAGTGTCTGCATGCTAACATCACTTAATAAAATCACAAAAATAATGACAAACAGATAGTCCTGCACCAAACTCACATCACTAGCTGTGCCAATGTCTACATTTTGGATTGGAAAATCAAGACTTGTGAAGCATTGGTGGATCATACTGATATTTAATGTGATTCTCATCATCTGGGTTTCCTCTGTTAGGACACCTGTGAGAACTTGAGGAGAACTGACTTCATATATTGATTAAAAATCACCAAAACACCAGCTGATTCAAACACAATGAACAAAAATAATGAAGAAAAGTGATGTTAGTCCTGCAGTATTTGATACAGACACCTGATCTGATGTTCAATCATCAAATGCTTTGACATTCATTCAGACATTTTTAAATGTGTGTTGTTCATAGTGCTAATAGTTTCTGAGGCCACAGTATAGGTTTACAAGGTCATATATACAACTAGATTTCCATATATATATATATATATATACACATTTATTTTTTTTATTTACAATTTATTTTTAATTCTAAATTTAATAAATATAATTGTAATAATTTTAATGGTCTTATATACAACTAGATTTCCATATATTAATTTCTTTTTTTAATTTATATATATAATATATATAACTAAACATTTGTAACAAAGCAGTAAATCACAAAGACACACACCTACACCCAATCAAAAGATGAAAATAAGTTTGAGATGATTCACCATTGAGCAACTTCCTTCAACTTCAAATTAAGAAAGCGTATCATTCATCACTGCGAAAGGTTGTCAAAACACGCTGTAAGCCACAAGGGTTTTGATGTGGCAATATGTTGATGACACAGGAATATAAAAAAAAAAAAATAAATATGCCATTAAAATCAAACGATAAGAAACCTAAGTCAACATCCTCCTGACATACATCAAAGAGAACGTGCTTAAAGACAGACTGTGAAACTGATATGATGTGTCTGGTTTCAAACCGTCACACTGAGCTGCTAATGCTGTGCAGCACGTGCCAATCACATTCATCCAATGCAAATACCTGGATTAAAAATTAGCCACTTAACATGTTTACATAACAAAGTAAAGGAGCCGGTGTATTTGCAACATGTGCAAAACCAAATGCAAAACTTAAACAAACACACTATTCTTCAAAAGATTTGGTCAGTGTTTTGAACAAAAAAATAATACTTTTATTAAGTGACAATAAAGACATTTAAAACATTACAGAAGAATTCTATTTGAATTAAATGCTGTTTTTTTTTTTACTTTCTATTCATCAAAGAATCCTGAAAAAGAAAAAGAGTCACGGTTTCCACAAAAATATGAAGCAGCACAACTGTTTTCAACATTGATAATAATCAGAAATGTTTCTTGAGCAGCAAATCAGTATATTAGAATGATTTCTGAAGATCATGTGACACTGAAGAATGGAGTAATGGTGCTGAAAATACAGCTTTGATCACAGAAATCAATGACAATTTACAATATATTCAAATATAAAACAGTCATGTAGACATGCTAGTGTATGTCTACATGAAAATGCATGTGTAGTGCAGCTTATTTATAATTCTGACACTTAAAAGTGTGCAACTTCTTGAGGGAAAGTGTTCTTTTTTTCTAAAAAGAAAAAAAGAAAAAAAAAAGAGAACCGAAAATTTTAATTTTTCACCTTAAAACATTAAAAACAGCAAACTAAACTCCACAGCCTTATATTGAAGGCATATAGAGACCAGAATATCACAGAGACTTGAAGATGAACTCTTTTAACTTGTTCTAGTAAGTAACCACCTAGCAACCACGCAGAATGCCCTATGCACCGCATAGCAACAGCCTTGCATCATGGCAGGGAGCTTTTTACAGGCAAGTCTTCTGAAGGATCTACAGTTGTGAATAAGACAGACAGAGAGATGATCAGAGATGTATATATTTTATACAAGCCCGTCTGTGAACTAAGAGAGATGAGCTGCATTGGAAGGACAATTTTGACAGAATTTAAACAT